TAACGTCAGCTTCAGTATAGGTCTTTAGAGTTTGGCGTTGTTGAGACATTACGCGTTATTATTACGCAGGTAAGGTACTAGGATTTCGTGGGGCGCACACTGGGGTGGGGCGCACACTGGTGAAACACGTTATACATGCTTTTGTTTGACTTGCATACTTCTCCCCACTTTTCTTTGAAATGGGGGAAAGGGAGAAGGGGGGAGAATACGAATGTAACTAGCCATCTTCGCCATTGGGCCTCTTTTTTTTTGCGAAGATATAGGGAGATTTGTCACAGCGCGCCGTTCTTTTTTTTGGACTCATGAGTATGGATAGATGGATGGATGGATGGATAGGAGAGATATACACTGTGTAGTTTAGCCTTTGCTCTTTCTTTCTAAGGAGGGATCGAACTATGCTGTCATTTGTAATGCGATGCTTGATTTTTCTTCTCTTCCATATACAAATACATCCAAGTCTTGGTTCGGGTTACTATGCTTTCTTCTCCAACTCCTTCACCCGCTTCAATCCCGCCCGCGCATTTGCCACACCCTCTGTAAACCCCATTTTCTTCGCGAGAGCAGCCGCTTCTTCGTACTGTTTGCGTGCTTCAGCGGTCTTGCCTTCCATTTCGAAGAATTCGCCTAGGTTGTGGGTAGCGACTGCGCAGCCCATGTCGCATTCTTCTGTGCGGTCTGGGGACTTTATTTGGTTGGCTTGTTGTAGGGCGCGTTCAGCCCATTGGCGGGCTTGCTCAATGAGGAGGGCGCGTGGGGCGGTGTTTGAGACGGGGAAGTCGGAGGGGAGGGGGGACATGGTGATTGCGTCGGTGGAGGAGGGTGGAGTCTGCTGGACTAGACAGGTGGAGATGTTGTTCACTGGGTGGATTAGTTTGGGCTGATATTAATAGAGAGACTGAGAACGTACTCAAGACTACGCTATGACATGAATTTGGTGGACATAGTTGTAGTGCCTTGACAAACAGAGGCGTGGCCAGGTAGTGCGAGTCAAACTGCTCGTAGTGTGTCCCGAGAGCTGCGTCGCGTCAGCATTTCATGTCCATACAAAGATTATAGTGCATACCTTCTAATGTGCCACCCATCTCTTCGTTCGTCAACCATGATCCCTCTCCATTCTTGACGCCCTCTTTCTCCCGTCGCTGCTGCTCCTTGAGCGCACTCTCGACAGCCTCAACAAGTCTCTTTTCGCCATTCTCAGGCTCATTGACGTATCGAACGTCATAGAGCTGGCCCAGCTTCAGATTGATCTGCACCATATTCTTTTTGACCCGACTGCGGTTCCCCGTCGTCCAGTGCTTGTCTGAAAACTCGTCGACCCATCGCTGGCAGTCGTTGCGCATAATCTCCAGCACATCAATTGCCAAGCTATAATACCCTGCATCCTCAAACAACTGAGCAATGGTGTACTTGACGCCCATTATCTCATCGCTAAAAGGATCCATGCCCAGCTCGTCGGCGAGGGCGAGGGCCTGCCTGAAGTGCTTGTTGGCCTCGCGGATATCGAGCCATTTGCCGCGGCTGTAGAAGAGGGCTTTGCGGAGCTTCTTTGCGACGGGCTCGGGGAAGTTGTGGTAGGGCTTGATGATGACATTCTTGTAGTACCAGGGAATGTAGAAGACGCAGATGCCTGAGACGAGGGTGATGCTGGCGGGGTGGGTTAGCGCAGGGCTTGGTAGCTGGATCGTCCGGCATACACTCCAATGGCAAAGGGAAATAGGACGGGGCTCTTGCGGTACTGCTCACTGAACTGTACCCGCATCGATGCGTGACGCCGGCCCAGTGACTGCTGTGCTGGCCGCCATGGTGTTGCAGGCCGCCTGGTGCATCGCTCAAGAGGCGCCTGGGCTTCGCACCGAGCATACGCACTCACTCGAGGAGTGGCGCGTACAATTGTCCTGCTCAACATGGTGCGCTGGCCGGGGGCAACGAAGTGTCGAGAATAGCGAGCAAATGTGGTGGAGCGAGTGCATGACGGAATGAACTTTTAGTGCCCGCCGCGTGCAGTTCCGCGTAGGGCTGAGGGTCGCCGCATGACGTCTGCACTCTACCACCAGCCATGTCTTGAGACACCGCAACATGTGCGGCCGTTATGTGCTGGCCTTGGTAAGTTCTTGTTACTCTACGCGATGCTACATGACAGCTGACAGAACCCCCAGCGGCCATCCGAGGTCCGCCGACAGCTCGAGCACTCGCATATGCCCGTCGCAGAAGCCCCCGACGATGACGACGGCACCATACGACAGAGCTACAACTTTGCCCCAGGCTACCACGGCCTGGTCTATCGAGCAGAGGGCTCCGAAACTGTTCGTTATCACGAAACTTCCCCGTCGAGCGACAACGACACCCAGTACAAGCTGCAGTCCATGCAATGGGGCCTCGTGCCCTTTTGGACCAAGCGCAACCCCGACTACGGTTCCAAGATGAAGACGATCAACTGCCGCGATGACTCTCTCGTCGAAGACCGTGGGATATGGACAACTATGAAGAAGAAGAAGCGATGCATCGTCGTGGCACAGGGATTCTACGAATGGCTCAAGAAGAGCGGGAGCAAGGACAAGATACCACACTTTACAAAACGCAAAGATGGCCAGCTCATGTGCTTCGCCGGCTTATGGGACTGTGTTCAGTTTGAAGGCTCCAGTGAGAAGCTCTTCACCTACACAATCATAACTACCGAATCCAACCAGCAGCTCCGCTTTCTACACGACCGCATGCCCGTCATCCTCGAGAACGGATCCGACGCAATCCGTACTTGGCTCGACCCAACCCACACCGAATGGAGCAAAGATTTACAATCCCTTTTGCAGCCATTCCAAGGCGACCTTGAGTGCTACCCAGTCAGCAAAGATGTTGGCAAGGTCGGCAACAACTCGCCCTCGTTTCTTGTACCAATCAACAGCGCCGATAACAAGAACAACATTGCAAACTTCTTTGGCAACCAACGAGCAGCCGCCAAGGTCGATCATGACGTGAATGAGAAACGTGAGACAATGGACCGTGTGGAAGGTACCGAAGATACCGAAGATAACGCCCCGCTACCTGTACCAGTGACAGCACACTCCGAACCGGCTCATGAGTCGCAAGGCATCAAGCGAGAGAACAACAGCGAAGATGACAACGGTAGTACAGGAGAGCAAGAACCCTCGAGTAAACGCGTCAAGTCCGAACCATCGGCGTCTCTGATAAAGAGTCCTATCAAGTCAGCGTCCACGCCTGCAAAGAAGCGCGTCACCAGGAGTGCCACGAGCAACGGCAGCGCGGCCAAAACACGCAAATCTGACGGTTCGCAGAAGATTACGGCTTTTTTTACCAGCAAGTGAGACTTGCTTCCATGGGTCGTAAGGTTTGGCGGTGAAGCGCAAGCCACCGTGAGGCTCATCTCGCGCTATATCATGCTCAGTATAGCTTGGGGCAATGCTGTCAGCAAAGGTACGCCCGCGCGGAGAAAAGGCGTCTGGGCTTGACCGTGAGAGACGACTAGAAGCGCGACCCTGACATGCCCGCGGGAATACCCACCGACAGCGTAAAGTAGATCAGCCCGGTTGGGCAATTAGCCAGTGCTGCTGCTCCCATCCATCCGTTGCCCCGCACTAACGGCGGGGGGAGTGAGCAGCCACCTAGCGGCCTTTGGATGCGGAAAACACCAACACGCCTCGCCGTTTCGAGTCGCCCCCAACGCCCTCTCCGGCCCATCACTCCTATAGCGCACCTCTCTAATGTAACCATCCCTGCAGCCGTCCGATTACGAATTTGCCCAAATTCGGACCGCCTCCGCCTTCTAGACTTTTTCTTTGCGGATCCTACGTAGTCCACCTTTGCATTTCCATCTCATATCATGCCATGTTATCTAGTACGCCCTTTTGGTACCCATTGTTCCTAATACTCGTCAACCTCTGATTGCATCTGAGGCCTCATAATCACGAAGGCATTGGCGCTAAACTTGTAGCCAAAACTGTAGCTGCCTAGCGCTTGACTCAACTCTTACACTTCGCCTTGCTGCCACCATGGCCTCCAAGATGGCCGACCTCATGGACCTGGTGTCCCAGAACCAGCCCAAGTTCCAGACTCATCAAGCGCTTCTTGCCATTGGCTTGCAAAACGACTTTGTCCTACCTGACGGACGCCTTCCGGTAAACACCTCGACCGGCTTTCTCGACCGCATCCAAACTCTGGTACCTAAGTTTCGCGAACTTAGCGGCAATGTTATATGGGTCCAGACGCTCTACGAAACAGACCGTATCGCCACTGGAGCAGACACTGGCGAGGGAGACGCGCTTGTTGTGGGTGGACTGATCGACGGTGATGAGAGCGGCCCGGAGGTTGGCGATGACGACTTGGCAAAAGAGGCGGCCTCGTTACCTGCGCAGTCAAAGTCATCAAAACACAAGCAACGCGCTCTCGACTTGCTAAAGCGCGTATCAGCGCGAAGAAAGACGCTGCCAAAAGAGATTGCAAAGGCTTCAGTCGAAGAGGATGACGAGCTATTCTTGTTGAAGAGCGAAAAGCGGATGCCCGCATGCGTGCCCAAGACACGCGGTGCCGAGTTTATCGATTTCGTCACCCAACATATGGAGCTACCGGCAGATGCGGTAATTCGGACCACCAACTATTCTGCCTTTCAAGGTACGAATCTGCTGATTACACTGCGCGCAAGGCTTGTTACAGAACTCTTCATATGCGGGTGCATCACAAATGTCTCTGTATTGGCGACTGTCATCGATGCAGCTCGACATGGGATCAAGATTTGCGTCATTGAAGACTGTTTGGGCTTTCGTAAGGAAACCAGGCATGAGCTGGCATTAAAGCGCATGGATGATTTTTTCGATGCATACCTAGTAAATAGCGAGGAAATCCTTGAAAAAGACCCGGCGGAAATACCACAGAAGCCGGAACTGTCTTCCAATGGCGCAAAGAGTGATTCAAAGCAAAATGAGAAGACGGTCGAGGATTTGTTAGCCAAAATGTCTCTGGGTGAAAACGGTAAAGCATTGTTGGAGAAGGAATTACGACCAGATGAGAAGCCGGTCGCTGAGCAAAACAAACAGCCTACTGACCAGGAGTTTGCTGACATGCTGGTCAAGGGTGCAACGGTGCCTGGTGCGCAAGAAGAGAAGCCGAAGTTGGTCAAAACCAAGATAAGGATGAGGTCTGGGAAAACGAAGAAGAAGAAAAAGAAGGGTAAAGAAGGAGAACAGAATGATGACGATGCAGATGTCACTGCCGAGCTCAGCGCGTCAACAACCTCGGTCAAAGTTGATTCGACTCCAATCATGGACGGTGCGACTTCAAAATCTACTGGAACCCCAGCGGATGCTCAACGCACCTCGCAAATCACCAAAGCAGGAAGTGCCGCGGACCTGCGTGGGAAGGAAGCCAGACAGCATGCGTTGAAAAATGCGGCATCTGTGCCATTGCTTTCGGCCAAGTGTGAAGAAAAGGACAAGAATAGACTATCAGGGTTTTCGGATCGAGTACGCATGTCACTTTCCAGGGGGCCCAAATCGGATTCCGGACCCGACGCGAGACGAGGTTCAGCTCCTTCTTCAAAGGCAGCTTCAACGATTTCGAAACAAGATGAGAAGGAAATCCAACAGGCCCTTGTGGAGAGTGAAAAGCCTGCTTCCGTGTCACAGTCAGAGTCGCCTGCTGTTGAGCCACAACAGAATAAGACGCCGCCAGGAATATTCACAACAACGACTATTGAAGAAACGGCAAAGGCTCCCACCAAGAGCAAACCTTCAAAGCTAAAGTCGCTCGCCAACTTGCCTGTTCTTGGGCCCGAAGATGAAATCGCACAGGGTGACTCAAGGATTATACACGACTTCCTTCCAAGCGATCTCCATCACCCCTCCGATCCATCTCAACCACTGAAAGACCTTATATTTGGACACCTTTACAACGAAGTGCGATGGCAGAAAATGCTACATCAGCAAGGTGAAGTACCACGTCTTGTATGCTGCCAAGGTGCATTTGGAGATGACGGATCCATGCCAGTTTACCGTCATCCTGCAGATCAGACTCTCCCGCTTTTGCGTTTCTCGCCAAAAGTGCAAATAATACGCAAGCAAGCCGAAAAGCTTGTAGGACATCCACTGAATCATGTCTTGATCCAGCTCTATCGATCGGGTAACGATTTCATATCTGAACACTCGGACAAGACCCTCGATATTGTCAAAGGTTCTTCTATCGTCAACGTGAGTTTTGGATCGCAGCGTACCATGCGCATTCGGAGAAAGAAACCGCAATCGAAGAAAGATGAAACTTTGGTGGACGACAGCGCCGTCGCCCAGCGCGAGACCCAGCGTGTGCCTCTACCACACAACTCCATGTTTGTTCTTGGGCTCGAATCAAACAGGAAGTGGCTTCATGCTATCCAGCCGGACAAGCGCCTGGCTTCCGAACGCAGTGAGGCGGAAACAAGCCACAATGGCATACGCATCAGCCTGACGTTTCGCAACATTGGCACCTTTCTCGACGCAAAGGAAAGCACGATATGGGGCCAAGGCGCAACAGCCCGAGAGCAACGTGACGCAGCAGACGTGATCAACGGCGACGAAGAGGAAGCCAAACGTGTCATCACAGCATTCAGCCGCGAAAACCATGATCCAGATTTCGATTGGGACGAATGGTACGGCGATGGCTTCGACACTCTCCATCTCCAAACCCCACCAAAAGACACTCCCCTCCTCTTCGCCTCCAACAACCCCATCGAAACTCGCCAAGTCCAAATCGCCCTTGCAGAATGCAAAATCCCCTATTCGCTTCTCGAAGCACCGGCAACAGACGAAACGTATGAACGGGACCGCCAGGTTACGTTTCGCGACGCAGACACGCATCACACGGAGATTCATACTCCTTTTTCCATTCTACTCTACCTCGATCGCTATTATCCGATCGACACGTCTTCTTCTTCACACTCTGTGACCGCATCTGCATACCCAACTATGCTTGCCACCGCCGATATCACGAAAACATGGCTTTCCCGTGTCAATTCACCGGCAGCAACGGTATCCGAGTTCGACGCTACTCTTTCTTCTCTACTCCAACAACTAGAGGGTGGATTCGAAATGCATGCCGGGCCGTATATAGCTGGGGCTAGGTTTAGTATTGCGGATTGCTTGGCTTGGCCTGTTATTGATGCGTTGGTGGAAGAGTGGAATGGGTGGAGTGCAGAGAAATTTAGGGGTTTGGATGCGTGGTATAGGGCTTGTTGGAAGAAGAAGGCGTGTGTCAAGAAGGTTAGGGAGAAACTGGGGGCATAGGATGGTATACGTGATGCTTTTTGGGAGCAAGTTTCGCTGAGGAGAAATGATGCGAAGATATGTGGTTAGTGGGTTGATTACTGATTTATTTCTTCCCTATTCCTTTCTAATGAGTCGAGTTTATTCTTCTCGCAACAAAAACGTCTATCTACCTTTACAAAACATCCTATTCACTTAATCTCTTCCCCTCAATGACCCCATTCCCCTCGTAAAACCCCCAACCACCATTACTGCTACTATACTAACCGCGAAACCAAACCACGCCATACCCCTTATCCCCTCTTTCAATGCATAACCCCCCGGCGCCAGCGCCACTCCCTTCTCCCCGCCTTCAATTTCCATCTCCACCGCCGTCGCAATAACACCCCCAATCACCCGCCCAACCATCCCCACACCCGTGATCAGCCCCGCTCCGAGCGCCGAATCTTCTTCAGAGACAGCACTTGCCACAAAAAGCGTAAGAACGGGTCCCGCAGTGACGACGCCTGCAGCGCAAAGTATCATACCCGGGAGTCCGTACGCCCAGTAGATAGTGTGTTCTGGAAGCGGGATAGCGAAGAGGAGACAGGATAGGGATACGCAAGCTGTGCTGAAGAGGAGGATGTATAACCCTGGTATGCGAGACAGGATGAGGGGTGTTATGACTGCGATTAGCAGAGCGCAGATGCCCGCGGGAAGGAATTGGAGAAGTATTTGCAAAGTGGGTAGGGCTTGGTATGCTGTGAACCAACGGAGAGAGGTGGCTAGGAAAATGGTGTACGAAGCTGTGACGAGCGCGGATATGACGAGGATTGGTGTGAGTTGTTTTTGGGTAAGGATGAAGGGGGTAATGAAGGGAGTCTTGTTGGGTGTTGTGGAGAGGCGGTGGTGCCAGTATGTGTAGCTTGCGAGGAGGAAGAAAGAGAGAACAAGGAGTGTGGGGATCCAGGGTGTGCGCCAGCCGATTTCGTTGCCATTGGAAAGAGCGAGGACGAGGAAGATGAGAGCGAGCGTGAAGATTGCGGCGCCGATCCAATCGATTGTGCTGGCTTTGCTGGGAGTAGGGGAGGGAGGCGGTC